TATAGAATGTGACACTGGACCTTGAGGCTCTTCTCCATCCCCTGGGCAAGTTGCCACACAGGTCTGGCAATTTTAGCATTACAACAAATGACTGGGTAACTGTTCTAGTTTCCTTTCCGGTGCTGTGATATAGCACTCTGACCAAAGCATCTTAGGAAAGGGTTTACTTGGCTTACACTTCCAGGTCACGGTCCATCACTGAAGGAAATCAGGACAGGAACTCAAACAGGAGCTTGAAGCAGAAACTGTGGAGGAACATTGCTTGCTGGCTCACTCACAGGCTCATGATTAGCTAGCTTTCTTATACAGCCCAGGAACATCTGACCAGAGAATGGTTCCACCCACAGTGGGCTGGGCCCTCCCACATCACTCATCAAGAAGATGCCCTTCAGACATGGCCACAGGCCAGTCCAATAGAGGCAATTCCCCGACTGAGGCTCCCTCAACCCAGGTGTGTCAAGTTGACACTAAAGCTATCCATCACAGTTTTCAAACAACTCAAAATAGTGCAGAGTGTACAAGTATAGATTTATTTATACATGTATAAATTCATTGTGCATCTTGCTACTGAGCTCAAGATCCTGTTTTGCTTTGCTGTGACTTACCTGAGTTCTTTTTTTTAAACAACAGCCAACTCTGCCCTTCTCTGTATCTGTACATAGTTTCAAAAGTGATTCAAACAACTCAAAATAGTGCAGTGTGTACACGTATAGATTTATTTATACATGTATAAATTCATTGTGCATCTTGCTACTGAGCTCAAGATCCTGTTTTGCTTTGCTGTGACTTACCTGAGTTCTTTTTTTTAAACAACAGCCAACTCTGCCCTTCTCTGTATCTGTACATAGTTTCAAAAGTGAATGCTTTAGGAGAGTGTAACTGTTTTCTCTGAGTTGAAACATTCCATCCCTGATCAAAGCTCAGTTAAGACTCAGGAGTTCCAAAGGGAGGCTCCACAGGAAGCAAAAAAACTCTCAGTTCCTCTTAAGTAAAAAACACAATTCTCAGGAAGTTCCCGAAACTTACCAGATTTGCAAGGCCCCTTCCTTCCCAAGGTTAAGTAAGCAGTAATGATTGCTGAAGAGAGACTCTCCAATGGGATGAGCTGCCTGCAACTCATACAGAGAACTGCAGGGATCCAGCTTTTCTGAGTCGAGTGGTAACCCGTGCTGGGAGAGGCTTTCGGTGGTGTGGCTGTCTTTGTGTTGTTTGCTCCTCTTACCCATACTCCTATCAGTAACTCCAAAAAACTCACGGTTGTTGTCAGTTTTCTTTCTGGTAAGTAGGTGTTGGTTCACCTCTCTCAAGGAGTAGTGTAACACACTACTAATGATTTTGAGAGAGGTAATAGATGTTGAGGGTACAATAGCCATTTGTGGACCATTTTGGACAGCATGAAGTTGTAAGCCAAATTCAGCTATTTTGTCCATGTTTGTTTCTCCTGCAGGTTTGGAGGCAGTTCATAGCAGACTTCCACTGAAGGGCCAACCCACACACGCTGGCTTCAACTATTCTTCATGTTCAACTTGATTATGCCAGAAAGCTGCACATGAACAGAAAAAGGTTTTATGTGCTTCTAGATTTTGGACATGGATGGGCTTCAGAGAAGGGAGGTGCTTTCTGTCCTGTAGTTTTACCTTGAGTCCTGGAATGAAAGCAAGCTGCCAATACGTCTTTCTGCATACTCAGCAAGTTCACTCAGTCTTCAGTAGCATGACACATTGTTCTGTTTGTTAAGAAAGATGTTGAAGGATGCAGAGGGTAAAGATAGAAGGGTGACCTTAGAGAGAAGAAATCTAGTATCTGGTTGGAGTTCTTAAAGTTACTTATTTTTACTTATATGTGTGTGCCTGTGTGAGTTTATTTGTGTAGTTTGTGTCCAGAATGAAGGAGGCTCTTAGAGCCCCTGTAACTAGCTATAGGCAGTTGTAAGAAGCCTGATGTGGGTACCAGGAACTGAACCCTGGTCTTCTGCAAGAGTAGTATGCACTCTTCACTAGTGAACCAAACACCAGCCTCCCCATTCTTCTCTGCCCCTAGAGAAGCTGGAGTTCTTACATGGTTTTCTACTAAAGGAATTTCTCTTGGGTAAAATGAAGGTGCTAGAAATCTGCCCTCTGGACTTGGAGAGTGCTGGGCAAAACTCATTTGTCAAAGAAGATTTTTTCATCTCACCTGAGGCTCAGAGTACTACTCAGGTTGGAATTAGGGAGACAAATACCTTGGCATGCTTGTTTAGCATACATGAGGCCCTGGGTTCTATCCCCAGGGCCATATAAAACCAGGTGCATTGGCACATGTCTATAATCCCAGCACCAAAGAGGTGGAGTCAAATGGATCGAAAGTTCAAGATCAACCTCAACTACATAGCTAGTTCAAGTTCAGCCTGGGCTACATGAGAACCTGCTTCCAAAAAAATCCTTGGCCAGATCTGCCTTGTGGTACATTCTAGTCCAGTTACTGCCATGTTCTTACAAAGTCTTCAGTGTAGCTGGCAACAGGTTCACTGAGTGACCCCATTTAAGGGACCTCAGTCAGGAATTTGATGGTCACACCATAGTCATCCACATTCCACGTTTCAGGTTCAAGCCATATTTTCCAGAAGTAGGGCCTTGGAAACCTGGACGGAGGCCAGATTCACAGACATGTAGCTGCCAAAACTAACAGACTTGTAGACAGTCTTTGTGCTGCCCTTTCACACCCTCAAAGAGATACCCGCTTTTTCCAGTAATTTATTCTTTCACTTTGTGTTACCCTTTTCTTTTGCTGGGACAAGCTGAGCCTTAGGGAAAATAACTGCTTGTTCTCAAACATGCTATTGGGAAGCACATTCCTGCTTCCTCCCTTCCTCTTGCCCAGTGCCTGGCCTGCTTTGCCCTCTCTCCAGGACATCATGACTCTGCAGAGTTGCTCTGTAAGTCTTCTATCTTCCAGGGGTGACATTGGCAGCCTGAGATGATGGTGTTTCAGTTTTCTAAGTAGCTTGGCACACAGGGGCATTTACCTTTCTGCTCTGCAGTCTGGCTTCTACTGCTGAGCTGAAGACAGCATTCAGTTTTGTATAGATGAACCCACACCTCTTTGGGAGCCCTTTCACCCCTTGTTCTCCTGCCCATATGGTGTCACTGAGGTGTGGGTCCTCTAGGCACCAAGCAAACTACCAGAAAGTAAGCTGGTTTCAACTAGAGCCCATTCTTTGGGAAGGGTCCATAGAAATGTGTTTATGCTCCAAAATAAGGACAAGCAAAGTTTAAATTCCCAGGTTGGGTTTTGGTAGATTTGAGTGAGGTAAGTGAGAAGACAGCAAACAGTTAGGAAAAGCTAATCCAGATGTGGTCAATAATCAAGACAACCACTGGAATAAAAAGCAAGTGGCAACAGACGTTCAGAAGAGATAAGATGTGGTTCAATGTGGTTTTCTCTAGGGACTTTCAGAACTCTCAGATAAGTGTGAACTGCCCACAGCTAACACTTATTTCTGACTCTACATTAAATTTGCTTCATATCTATCCTATTTTTAATCTATTCTTCTGTCAGCAAATAGTGATATTGAGCAGATTTCCTAGCTTAGACATTGACTTTCTGTTTGGTTCTTTTTCATGATTTTTCTTTGTTGGACTTTTCTTTTTCATGCATTACTGTTGATTTCATTCAGTTTCTTTATGTGCACCATTTCAAGCTCATGGAACGTCCCTAAGATTAATATGAATTGCCAGGTAGTCTGCAAATCTCTATTTTGTTAAGGTTAGCTACTAACATATTATGTTCTTTCTTTGATTCTATCATACTCCCTTGACCATTTATTGTCCTTCTGACTATACTCCAGCGTATTTGTGCACTTGAAGAAGTTAGAAATCTTTACAGATTGTATTTGGCAGGGAAATGTCCTCACCAGTCAGCCTATCCAGAGACCCAGAGCAGGTGATCTGGTATGGTCCATAGGAAGGATTACTGCTGGAGTCATTAGACAGGCTGGATAAATGCCTAGGTTAACAAGTGTGCAAGTTGAACCCTGGATTTATGTTGTTGACTCTAGATTCAGGGTCCAAAGAGGCTAGGGTGAAGGATAAGGCTTTAGACATTGGCCAGGCACAAGGTTGGTTGGCTGGGGCAGGGGTTTGCCTGCAGCTGGGGTCTGCCAGCACTGGTCTGGTATTGGAGAGGGCCAGCAGTCTTGGACTCTGGTTCTAAAGGAGAATTTAGAGCTATGGAGGCTTGGTGTTTGAGCAGGCCTAGGTTAAGTCTATAGGAACAGTCCTAATCCTGAGGATGCATGTACTAGGCTGCCCACATTGTGTGTCTGAGGCTGCGTTGTAGACTGGAGCTCTGCCACAGCCAGCTGGCCCAACAAAGGGTGGTCTGGAGCATGGTTGGCAGTAGGGCAGCCTGAGGGCCCTAAGCGTGTCTGAATTTCAAGCCTATCAGGATGATCTTGTTTTGAGGTGGGCCTGTAGGCTAAGTCTGTGGGGACCAGATTGGAACTAGGGTGGGTGTGAGTAATGAGTCTGCAGGACCAGCCTGGGGATTGGGGTCATGGACCATGGGACTAGCATCAGAACAGGACTGGAGGCATGGTTTGTGGATAGTGATCTGCAGTCTGTGGCTAAGGTGTTTTCTCTGGAGCTGCGTTTTTCTTGAATTGGCCTGATTCTGAGATATATTAGTCACTTGTCTCATTGTTGCCACAAAATACTTAACAAAAGCAATGTAGGGAAGGAAGGGTTTATTCTGGCTTACAGTTCTAGGAGATACAGTCCATCATAGCAGGAAAGGTATGGTGCGGGAGCAGGAGGTGTTTAGTCACATTACATCCGCAGTCAGGAAACAGAACATGATGAATGCATGCACTTAGCTTGCTTTCTTCTTTTTGTTCAATCTGGAACCTCCAGGTCATAGAATGGTACCAGCTACATTTAGGGTATGTCTTCCCATCTAAATTAACCTAATCTAGATAGTCCTTTATAGACATGACCAAAGATCGTTTCCATGGTGATTCAAGTTCTCTTAAAATGATGGTTAAGATTCACCATAACATGATGTCTGAGGCCCTCTATCAGTGTGGTACTGCCTGGGATTGGGAGGAAAGTGACACATGACTATGTGAAACTGAAACTGTCCTTTCAACCTCTCTGTTGCTTTTATTATTCATTAAATTTCTGTGCTATGCACAAGTGCTAATAACTTCCCTTGTTTCCTTAGCTCATGCATAGGGCAGACTGAGGGCCCTGAGCATGTTCAAATTGATGTTTCTGATAGAGAAGACAAGCCCTGGGCAGTCCCATTGTTATTTATGTGCCAGAAGTTGCATTTAAGGACAAAGCCAAGAAGAACGACAGTGACTGACAAAATAAGAGATTGCAGCGAGGTATTGGTAGCTATTGTGGTAGGTGAAGACAGCTGCTTCTCATGGATCTTGTGATGCATTATGGGCACCTTTGTCTTTACAGACATTTGCAGAGAATTCTGTTTTCAGAATCAAAGAGTAAACAATTTTGCTGTTTTCCTTTTCTCTATTTTTTATTTGGAAACTAGAGCCCAGAGGTGGGAACAGAAGGAAATGAGCACTGCAACGCACAGGTGCTTCCTCTTGGAAAGCTGAGAGTTTACAGAACTGGATGATTTTAGGGCTTCAGGGGATAAGGGTATGTGGCTCTAACATTCATCAGTACCAGGTTCCCCTCCAATTCTGGATACACAGTGATGAAGTGATCTTCTTTTCCCAAAAGTCAGACACTGCTTATAAGTGACTAGAGGTAGATAACGAAGGTGAGCAGGAATTACAAGTGCCACATATAGCCAGTTCTCTTCACTGGTGTGGGGTCTCCTGTTCTCTCCTACTGCCACATTTACCAAAGAGGTTACATGCAGCCTGTGGGTAGTGCAAGGGCAAACAGAATGCTGAAAGTCTTACAGCAGTTACTACACGGAGGATAGCTGAGAGTGGAAAGAAGTAAACCTTTGTGCTATTGGGTGGAAAGACAGCAGCATAAGCTAGCCTGTGCGGAGCAATAGAGGGCACACAGGGTTAAGATTGCTACTCGTGATGACTTTCCTTGAATTTTGTCCATGTCTAAACAGCCAAGTTCAAATTTCCTCTTCTTTCTCCTCCTCTTCTTCCTCCCCATTCTCTTCCTCCTGTTCCTTCCCCTCTTCTCCCTTCTCTTCCTCCCTCTCCCTTCTTTCTCCTTCCTTTTCTTCTTCCTTCTGTTACCTTCCCTTCTCTTCCTCTTCCTCTTCTTTTTATTGTCTACCTCAAACCCAGAATAGCAGCTGTACAGAGAACCAGTTAGGTTGCAGCTACTAGAGGTGAAGGGAGGAAATGGCTGTTCCTTTTGTCTTTGGAATATGTTCTCAAGAATTTGTCCCATTTCATACACACACACACACACACACACACACACACACACACACACACAAACCCCATCCCCTCTTCCCTCCTTATTCCAATGATTCAGCTCTGAGCAGATCATGGAGAAAAGAGAAGTGGCCTCTCCAGGAACCCCAGACTCCTCACAGAGCCAGGAGGTCCAGACTCCTCTTTGGAAACTAGCAGACTTGATGCGTGCCACCCACACACCCAGCTGATTCAGAATTGATGTAGCTGCAAATAAAAAATGTGGAGAGCTGTTTCTTTGCA